CTCTCTCTCCCTCTCTTTACATATATATATATATATATATATATATACACACACAATCAATATAAAGCAGCTACTTATATGATGCATATTATTTACATTCAAGCAACTAATGTACTCTGTGACTGTGCATAGAAACATAGAACAAGGAATGGTGTCATCTAGACCTGCAGAGATGTAATGCAAGTTGCGTGTAAAATGCAAACAGAGTGGAAACACATGCACATCGGTGCTGAAATGCAAGACAATGGCTTTCCCTGGCGTCCAGACAGTTACAGTTGGTGCTTTCCTAACAACGGCTGTATTGATGCCCTGGCTGTGCTTCAGCAGTTAGACCAATCAGATAGCCTCTCGTGTGGATATTGACCAATCAGTAACATCCCATTCCTCCAGTAGAAGTATAATATTAGAAGGACCCTGGTAGTTTAAAAGCGTATGTCAGGAAAAATACACTTGTCCCTATTTCAAGATTCCAGACCTTTTGTGTGTCCGGTTTGCACTCACTGTTATCAGAAAAATAAAGTTGTATGATGAAGATAAAGTTAAATGGTCTTATACTTGTATAGCGCTTTTCTATGCTTTACAGCACACTCAAAGTGCTTTTACACTACTTGGCCATTCACACTCACAAATGCTCACCCACCGGTGTTATCACCGGGAGCAACTGGGTCCCAGCACGCCACCGCCCCCCCCCCCCCCCCCCCCCTCGGAGTTTCATCCATCTGTATCTTCCTGTTCAGCACCTACGAATTTATCACTGGAAACGTTGCAAAATTGTAGAGGGCACTGTAAAACCAGCTGTTACCACTGGGTTTGAGTTTTTAACTGTTTGAATATTTACAAAGTATTAGTAGCAGGCATGTTGCTTACTGTCTTAGGTGGATTACACTGAAAGTATGTGTGATCATGTATGTGTTGTGTGTGTGTGTGTGTGTGTGTGTGTATCACTTAATGTCTGACTTTCTTTTTGTCTTCGAGGTAACTTGGGTCAAGCAGAGTTGATCGGCCGAGAGGCTCTGAAGCTCCTCCCCAAAGACCACACTATCATGTTTTCATTAGCTAATGTCCTGGGGAAATTACAGAAATACAAGGTCAGTCAGTGGAGTATTCAGTAAACACGTCAACTCAGAATATTATTTGTTATGCATGTTGTTATTCCTTACATGGTCCTCTGTGTCAGTCAGGAGCGGTACCTTTCTCGTTCTAGTACAGGGAGTACAGTGTGTTTTGTTTGTTTGTTTTGTTGTTTTCCTCAGGAGTCAGAGGGCTTTTTCCTTCACGCTCTTCGAATCAATCCAAATGCTGCTAGTTGCCATGGCAATTTAGGTAAGGCTACTGCAACATATTTTACAGATCTGATGAGAGATTCTAAGTGCTTGAAAGCTAAAAGAATAATTGCATTTACTATGTAGAAGCAATGCTCTGCAGCCAAACTGACCTGTATGTAAGTGCACAAAATGAATAGATTTAGAATAGTTGCTGCTTATCAGCTTGAAGAGTGTTTCTTTTTTATTCATCAGCTGTGCTGTATCATCGCTGGGGAAAGCTGGAGCTGGCAAAGAAACACTATGAGCTGTCTCTAAAGTTGGACCCTGAGGCTCCTGGGACCAGAGACAACTACAACATGCTGCGTCGCAAACTGGACCAGCTTAAACGCAGCACTCCCTGAGGGAACCCACTGGGACCCCTGCCTGCCGTAAAACAATTTTTTTCATTGTTCCACATGGTATGATTTTATCACACTAATTCTGGCTTTGTAAATAAAGACCATGATCTGTGTATCAGTTTCTAGTTTTGTTCTTTGGGAGAAAAAAACCCTCTATCACTTCTTAAAGAAGGGAAACAAAACTGACCAGCAGTGTGCTGCACAGTTGCAGTTTTTTGGTTTAGTCTTTTTTAAGACTTTTTTTTTTATGTGTGAGACTGTGTCTGTATCAAATATCTAATTTGATTTCATGGGTGTGAGATGTGTCTGGCGCAGGTGTGCTGAATGCCTTTGCTAGTTATATGGTTGTCTACACTGCTGTTTTGTTGAAGGCCATGTGGAACTGATCCTCGGTGAACTCCATCTTCTTTTCATCTCTGACCCTGTGTTGTGTCAGCTGGACAGAGCACGATACATGTGTGGATCCAGAGAATCAGTTGTAAAAGTTATTTGACTTGGCCTTCTTTCATGAGTCCCAAATGTTGCTGTATTCAAAAGCTGCTACAGTTCAGATCAAGAGCATTAGTCTGCACAGGCCACAGCATAGTCTTTATAAACAGCTGGTAAGTGTTGACTGCTGGTGGGCTGAAGTGGTTATCTTGTTTGCTTTTGAATACTCATCTCTTTGTTCCTGAGTGGGATGGCACTCTGAGGTTCAAAACCCCTTTAGCCTCTCCTCTCCTCCTGTAGCCTGTGTAGTTAATAGGAGAAAGGTGTTTTGCGCTGGGAAGCTTTTCTGAAGTGTCCGAGAGGAGACGAGGGGTCAGCCGAGACAGGAAACCCATGGCCGGTGCTGGATGAAAACAGCTCTATAGCACAGAACCTTCAAAGGGAGATGGGGATGATCTCCCCAGGGACTATGCGTGCACGTACACATAGGCCTGCTTCTCTTGAAGAATGCTGCCAAGAGAAAAGGCAACCTCAGTGTGAAACATCAGTCAACAAGTGTGTGCTTGAGGTCAAAGTTCAACACACTTCTATTTTTTCACCTGCTTCCTACAGCTTTGCAGGAAACTTTTGAAGCTCTGGCGAGCTGGTATGGCTTTGCTTTAGGGGCGGCTAACTTTGTTTACACATACAGTACAATACACCAGTTGATGCTTTGATGCTTGGAAGATGTTACTGATATGCACATCGGGGTGGGGGTTAGGGGGTTGTCGGTGTCCTCTGTATAGGACCTCCTGGATGTGCAGCCAATATGACATGAAATTTCCTTTTTTATTTTCCTTGCTTTGATGTAATGACTTGGTAGATTTATCTAAAGCCAAACAAATAGCCTATGTACGCTGCACACACTGTTATTTAAGTAAAGATGTTTCAGAAAGACTCATGTAAAGGTCAGTATGTTGAAGGGGCTTCATGCTAGATGAAAAAGTTTTGGTTATTGGCCAAAATCTTTTCCTTCGTATTGCTTTTCCTTGTGCAGTGTAACATGCGGTGCTACCAATGATCGGGCAGCTACGAGTCTATCAGCTTTTGCTTTATGTACTTACGGATCCTTTCTTTACTTTCTGCCTCATCCCTTTATTCCTCGCCTGCCGCTGACTCTGGAGCTGCACAGCTGTGCTGCCACAACAGTGGGGGAGCCCACTTTTATCATAATCATTCTTTGAATACCTTTCATTATCATAAAATATGTGAGTATTAAAGGGATGGATTCACCAGCCCCACCAACATCTTCATTATCCATTCTGACTGACAAAAACCTGCTGTCCTAGGGAGTGACATTAATAAAAGATGGGGTACCACTGCCTTATGAAGTCCTTTCCTTGTTCTCTGGATTTTCACTGAACACCTTTACCTGCTTGGATGCTCCATCACAATGATAATGAAATCAGTTCCCAGGTGGAGCTCTTTATTGTGTTTTATTAATCACGCTGTTGAGTTTTGATCAGTGTAATCAGTGGATTTGGGAGAATCATGTGTGATTGATCACAACCAAAACAACTCAAAAATCTGTAATAATAAAGTCAACAAGGCATTTTGATTGCCAAAGAACGTGTTTTTGAAAGAAAAGAAAAACTTGTCATCCTTTTGTTGTGGTAGAATATTCAATAGAAGAACAAGAAGCAGGGAAGCACTAATTTGAACCTACCAAGGGTGTTTTGGAACAGCAGGTGTGCTATTTTGCATCTGATTAAAAGAAAGTATGAGCTTATCAAAACTGCTACGTGGAAATGTCCTGAGCCGTTAAATGAAGCAGCAGTGGGTATATGTGTGATGGTCACCTTGAACCTGAGTGATTGCAAGAACAGGGGCTTATGATTTTTATTACCTTAGATGTGTGGTTGAGAAAACCTAGAAATGTTGGGAGTTAAATAATACGTTGTGTCTAACATGAGTATTTTATTGTATCTTGGTATTTGGAGAAGGACTGTAAGCAGGCATAGCTTGAAGCACTCACATGCACTGTCTCACACACACACACATACAGTGGCAAACCTCCTGTACATCTGTAAGAGTGGCTTTGACGGAGTTATCAGTGTGACGGGATGTGATCAAGGGCAGTCCCATGATGTGTCTACTGGGCCTCTGTAGGGTCCTCACTGTCCCTCCCTCCTCCTCCCTCCAACTACAACAATCCTAATGGGCTCTGATGGGCACCTGCATTTTGCCTATCTAATTGATGTAAATACTGCACATTTGAACCTGCAGTCCTTCCCACCATCCACCAGGCCCCTCCCTCTGTTTCTTATAACAGTAGGGGTCAGAGGTTAGGCTGACTGAGTGATCATTAGAATGGCAGTTCTTATTAGAGGAGCAGCTTGTCTGACTGCCCGTCTGTATCCTGGAGAGGGACCCACCTTGTCCGCTTCATCTAGATCACATTACATGACACGACCTCAGGACAGATACTACCAGTGCACTGCAACACTGTAGGCCACTAGGGCACAGTGGCATTTTCAGAGGAATCCCCTCGCTTGTCACAGTGCTTCCCTGACACTCTGTCTGTCTGGCTTGGATGCACACTGTCATTTGTTGGAGGGCTACTGTCAGTGAGTATTGAGACCGTCATGTCTACATGCCCTGGCATTTTCAGCGGCATTCTTTGTAATGCGGCATCCAGCCAACCTCTTGAGAGTCCATGATGTCGTGGCGAATGATTAATAGTTAGAGATGGGCTATAAAACG